TGAGATGTCTCCAAGTGCAAAGAGCTAATATCTAATACAATCTTTTTGTTCATTACTTTAAAAAAAATTTTTCCCTGAAACTTTAGCATTCTTTTATAACCTTTACAACAATGCTGGTGAGATCAGTTACTTTATTTTATTCATTCAATCACAAATACAGAGGGTACCAAAAAAAGGTAAACACATTTTAAGAAAGTAAAAAACTGTATTAAAATTGTGATAATATATACTGATAACAAAAGATGAATACAAGTCAAGTTTGACTTCTGCAATGACAAGAAGTGCTCAAAGTGGTTATCATCAGGTCCAGACACTTCTGATTATGATGGACTAAAAGTAATACATAGATAACATCTCTTAAAAATGTGTACACTTTTTTTTTTGGCATCCTTGGTGTTTCTTGAACACTCATGGTATGCCACATACTGTTTTAGGCACTAGGGATTGCACACCAAATAAAACAGGAAAAAAAGTTTGCTTTTAGGCATTTATATTTTAGTGGAAGGAGACAAAGGTAAATAAGTAGTAAATGTACATAGTACAAAATTAAAACAGTATGAAAGAGTATTTAGTAAAAGTAGGTCTCCTCTTTTTTTTTGAGTTGGAGTCTCACTCTGTTGCCTAGGCTGGAGTGCAGTGGCTTGCTCACGGACACCACAGCCTCAGCCTTGACCTGCTGGGCTCAGGCGATCCTTCCACCTTAGCATTCCAAGTAGCTGGAACTACAGGCACACTCTACCACGCCCAACTAATTTTTTGATTTATTGTAGAGATGAAGTCTCTTCAAGTTGCCCAAGCTGGTCTCGAACCCGTGGGCTCAGGCAATCCTCTCACCTTGTCCTCCCAAAGTGCTGGGATTATAGGTGTGAGCCACCATGCCCGGCCTCTCCCTCCTCTTTATTTTTCCCTAGCCTCCTGGTTTCCCTCTTCAGGAATACTCCTTTCTAGTTTCCCAACAGGTATATTTTATATGTATATAATCATACTGGTAATACATACTTTTTTCTACCCCCAAACTCTTTACAGTAGCTTTCTATATATACTGTTCTTCCCCCCACCCTTTTTTTAACTTAACACTATGTGTTGGAGATCATTCCACCTAGAGCTACTTCTTTCTTTTTAATGGCTACCTAGTTTTCTAATGTATTGATGACCCATAATTTATCTTCTCTTGATAAATACATATATTTAGGTTTTTTCTATAATTTTGCTATTACAAACAATATCTTATATCACTTGACTGCATTCGAGTATATGTTTATATACATTTATGGAAATAGAATTCCATAAATTTCCATTATGGAAGGGATATATACATTTTATGCTTTGATAATGTTGTCAAATTGTTCTCCATAGTGTTGTGCCAATTTATACTCATATCAGTAATAGACAAAAGTGCTTATTTTTCCCAGCAGACTTGGATGTTATCAAACTTTTTATGTTGTTTAACATAGAACTCAAAAAGGGAATTACATCCCACTTTGTAAACTATTCTTAATTTGACTTCCTTCATGTTATTCTTATGTAATTAAAATATTGCCATTTGTATATGTTATGAAATAACTAAATTAATCATCCCTTCGTATTTGTGGGGGATTGGTTCTGGAGCCTGTGGGACACTAAAGTCAAGTCCCTTATATAAAATTGTATAGTATTTGCATATAACCTATGCGTATCTTTTTATATACTTTAACTCATCTCTAGATTATTTATAATACCTAATTCAGTGTAAATGCTATGTTAATAGTAGTTATACTGTATTGTTCAGGAAATAATGACAAGAAAACGATGCCTGCATGTGTTCAGTACAGTTACAACTGTCCTTTTTTTAAAAAATATTTTGGATATGTAGTTTGTTAAATCCACAGGTGTGAATGCACAGATATGGAGGACCAACTGTATTAAACATTCTTTTGGCTGTCCTTGTTTTCCATATTGATTTGCTCTAACCAATACATTTTTTTAGGTAGCATAAAGGAATTTTTTTTAAGAGACAGGGTTACCCAGACTAGAGTGTGATCATAGCTCACTGTAACCCCCAACTCCTGAGCTCAAGTGATCCTCTTCCCTCAGCCTTCTGGTACTGGAGGCACCTGCCACCATGTCCAGCTAATTAAAAAATGTTTGTGTGTGTGTAGATATGGGGTCTCACTGTGTTGCCCAGGCTGGTCTTGAACTCCTGGCCTCAAGCCATCCTCCCACCTCGACCTCTCAAAGGGCTGAGATTACAGGCATAAACCACCAATTCCAGCCCAGAGGCCTTTTTTTTTTTCTTTCTTTCTTTTTCTTCTTCTTCTTTTTTTTTTTTTTTTTAAAGAGATGGGGTCTTTGTTGCCCAGGCTGGTATCGAGCTCCTGGGCTCAAATGATCTCCCACCTCAGCCTTCTACGTAGATAGGATTACAGGCTCATACTACCATGCCTTTTTTCAGTCTGTATGGGGAGTTGTGAATTAACAGTGGCTAGTTTGATATGATTTTATCATATCAAAAAGCGAAACAATGGATGGTATTGGTTTATGGTATACACTGAAAAATACTTCCAGCCCCCTTTTTTGAGAAACAGCTATGGTTTTGTTTTTTTGATCTAAGTGGCTTTTCAGGTTTTAGGAATATGAAGCATTAGAAGTGGGTTGATGGTAAGTATTAGGATCTGGCTAGCTTTGAGACACTCTTGTTATATTGTCTGGAATTTGCTGTTTAGTTCAAATGTTGAAGGAAAATATTGGCCATTTCTAAGGAATCCTGTATTAGATATTTTAGTAGGCCTAAAAAGTATACATTCATTAAGACATTCAAACTACTTCAGGTTATAATCTGCATATTTTAATTGTCACTTGTTAGCGATAAAATGGTATTTGGAGATAAAATAGTATACACAAAAAACAGAATGATATTTAACACATAGATGTTTGTAGCAAGATTGTAGAGTCTAGTGGTTAAAAACATGGGAAAGATAAGAGAGCCCTGGATTAACTAGTTGTGTACTTTCCTAAGCATCCATTTATTCATATAAAATAAATCAATATTTTACCTACTGCACCTACCTTTTTGTGTTTCTCTAAGGTTTAAATGAGTGAATGTATGTTGGAGGGCTGGCTTAGTACCTGGCATGCAATAAGTGCTGAACCTTAGCATCATAACTAATCATACTTACTTCTGGCTGAGATTAGACCTTACTCATTGGGAAGTCAACAATCATGCTAGAAAGACCCTGAAGGCTAGCATTCAGCCAGGAATATTTAAATGCATTCTCATTTAACCTTTACTCCATGATCTCTGATTTTCTTTGTAGACTGAAAAAATATGACACATTTGTATGAGTCTCAGGATTGAATTATTGTTGTTTTCTTTTCTTTTTCTTTTTTTGAGTCAGAGTCTCACTCTGTCACCCAGGCTGGAGTGCAGTGGCACGCTCATGGCCACCGTAACCTCAACCTGCTGGGCTCAGGTGATATTTCTGCCTCAGCCTTCCAAGTAGCTGGAACCACATGTGCACGCCATCACACCTGGCTAATTTTTTATTTATTGTAGAGATGAGGTTTTGCCAAGTTGTCCAGGCTGGTCTTGAACCCCTGGACCAGACAATCCTGTCACCTCCGTCTCCCGAAGTGCTGGGATTACATGCGTAAGCCACCACACCTGGTGAATTCTTGTCATTTTGATATCTAAGATATATTTATTAGAGCTGTAGTTTCTAAGAGCCACCTATACTACCTTTTCCTTTTTATTTCTAAAATAATCTCCTAATTTCACCCATATTGAGAGGAATGCTTTTGTTTGAGATACTGTTGACAGATATCATAAATAAATAATGCCAAAATCAAGAAAGAACATCTGTGGGTCACCTGAATGACCACTGGATACCCAGAGTAGTACAGTCATACACTGCATAACATTTTGGTCTATGAGGGGACCACATATACAATAGTGGTTCCATAAGATTATAATATCATATTTTTACTGCATCTTTTTCATATTTAGATATATTTATTATTTTAAAATAATAACTTTTTTTTTTTGTCGAGGTGGGGTCTTGTTATGTTGCCCAGGCTGGTCTTGAACTCCTGGCCTCAAGTGATCTTCTTGCCTCAGTCTCCCAAAGTGCTAGAATTACAGGCATTAGCCACCACACCTAGCCTAGATATGTTTAGATACACAAATACTTAGCATTGTATCACAATTGCTCAGTGTTCAGTACCATAACATGCTGTACAAGTTTGTACCCCAGGAGCAATAGGCTATACCATATAGCCTGGGTGTGTGGTAGGCGAAACCATCTAGATTTGTGTAAGTACATTCTGTGATATTTGCACAATGATGAAATCATCTAATCAGACATTTCTCAGAATGTATTCTTGTCTTTTTTTTTTTTTTTTGAGTAGAAGTCTCACTCTGTCACCCACGCTCCTGGCCACAGTAGCCTCAACCTGCTGGGCTCAAGCAATCCTTCCACCTCAGCCCTCCATGTAGCTGTAACTACAGGCACACATCACCACGCCTGGCTAGTTTTTTGATTTATTGTAGAGATGGGGTCTTACCAAGTTGCCCAGGCTGGTCTTGAACGCATGGGCTCAGGCAGTCCTCTCCACTCAGCCTCCCAAAGTGCTGGGATTATAGGCATGAGCCACTGCGCCCGGCTGTATTCTTGTCATTAAGTGTTACATGACTCTACATAGTTCACATTTTGAAAACCTTTGCAACTAACAATTTGACCAATAGATGGTTTTCTTTAAGTTATTTTGCCAGTGTAGGTCTAATCTTTATAAACAAAACAATTGAATTAAATCAGGCAAAAATAAATAATTAAAAGTGAGAGCCTCTAGCTCTAACTCTTAAGTGGTATCTAAGCAGCTGACTTTTTTAAAATAAATTTTATTTTATCCACAAAGCTTGAAAATATTAAAATATTTCAGAAAAAAAGATTTTGGAATATTTTTAGGTACTTCTAACAATTAGAAACTTGGGTACAAACAAAATTCTTTTGTGTTTATTTTTATAGGTATCCCTTGGAATTTTACATTTAATGTAAAGTTTTACCCACCTGACCCAGCGCAATTAACAGAAGACATAACAAGGTAAATACCTATGTAGTAGTTAAGTATGTAATAGTAATCCTCATCATCATAAGCTCTGGGAATTTCCCCTATTCAGAATTGAAGAAAAATGATGAGCTATTAAGTGGTTTGCCTAAGACAGAAAGTTTCTTGTTACTTCAAGTCAGGCTTGCAATTAGGTAAGCCTGAAAGCTTTGAGTACCTGTGACCTGCTTGGAGCAAACTGGTAGGTGAAGTAGGTGTATTTATCATGGGTATTATGCCAGGCTATGGGCAGGCATCCTATAAACCACACCACCCTCTAAAGGACAAGATACAAATATAGTGGGTTTTTTTGTTTGTTTCTTCATACTCCTTTCCCACTATGTTTGTTCATATAAAGACTGAAAAAACTAAAAATCTCAGTGCTATTATTTCTTAATATCTTCCTTTGAAAGTGTATGATTAGGCACATGATTCCCATAAACTGAATCTTTCTTTGAGTTCACTCAATTTATGAAATAAATCTTGTACTCTTTAAAGACAGCCTACTGATATATTTTAAGAAAATGACCTAGCTGGGCTCGGTGGCTCAGCCTGTAATCCCGTGCCTTTGGGAGACTGAGGTGAGTGGATTGCCTGAGCCCACGGGTTCGAGACCCGCCTGGGCAGCGAGACCTCATCTCTACAATAAATCAAAATATTAGCCGGTCGTGGTAGCACGCGCCTGTAATTCTGGCAACTCGGAAGGCTGAGGTGGAAGGATCACCGGAGTCCAGCAGGTCGAGGCTGCGGTGGCCAGGAGCGGCCACTGCACAAAGTCTGGGTGACAGAGTGAGACTCCAACTCAAAAAAAAAAAAAAAAAAGAAAATGACCTATTGGATTCTATAAAAATAAAAATGGCAAAGCAATGTTGTAAACAGTACTACTGTACATGTTTTCATCCATAGTATCTTACATAGAGTCCTATATATAGTAGGTGCTTGGCAAATGTTTGTTAAATTGAACTGTTGGTTGTTGAGAAACAAATCAGTAATTCTGCTTTTGCTGCCAACTATCTGATCTCAGGCAAATTTACAGTCTCTGGCCTCAGTTTCCATATGTCTCAAATAAGAGACTAGACTAGACTCTTGAAAAATATGGTTATTTTGTGAGAAGTCTATACCATTTTTTTCTTATTACTTGTCGAATCATCCTTAGTACATTCTTAAAGTAGAGTTGCCATATCTCTGCCTTAAAAAATTGTTCTGATTATTTCTTTTTCACGGGTAATATTTGTCTTTTAGAGCTGCTACTTACTCATTTTTCTTCATCTAGGCTTATAATGTATAAAACAAAACATCCCTAAAAATCTGGGCTGATTATTTACATTTTAGAGGAGTTAAAGATTCTTGTGACTTGTTTGCATTGCTGTGACTTAAAAAAAATGTAATGACTAATTATAGGTAGCAAAAACTATTACTGTTGCATGTATTATTCTGTATTTTGTCTTTAAAAGCAAGGATATAGCCAGGCTCGGTGGCTCAGCCTGTAATCCCGCGCTTTGGGAGGCTGAGGTGAGAGGATTGCCTGAGCACGCGGGTTCGAGACCCGCCTGGGCAACTTGGCGAGACCTCATCTCTACAATAAATTAAAAATCAGCTGGGCGTGGTAGCGCATGCCTGTAATTCTGGCTACTCGGAAGGCTGAGGTGGAAGGATCACCGGAGCCTAGCAGGTCAAGGGTACAGTGGCCGGGAGTGGCCACTGCACTCCAATCTGGGCGACAGAGTGAGATTCCAACTCAAAAAAAAAAAAAAAAAAAAAAAAAAAAGCAAGGATATGACTCTAATTAATCTAGGAATTATCAATTTAATCATACTTTCCTGTTTGGTAACAACTCAGTCAGTTAGAACAAGTGGTAAGAAGGTCAGGGCCATAGGATGAACATTATACTAACAAAAGTGTCTATACGTGGTAGGACACGCAGTTGGTTTGTTGGACTAAACTGTTTTAATCTGAATTCCCAACTGTTTAGCACACAGGTGGAATTAGTCTTACATGGTGACTGATAGTCAAAAAACACATCATAATGTTCATATCCTAGTGAAAAATTTGTTAGTTATGTCATTTTTGTATACAAAGGACAATATCTACCCATTTGCAAAGCAGTGTGATAAAAAAGAAAGGTCCTTGGAGCCAAATAGCCTTTATTGCTATCTGACATTGAGCAAACTCAGCCTCTGGGGCTGCCTCCTCATCTATTATCTGGCAGTGATACCACCTCACATGTTTTTTTGTGAAGATTAGATGAAATAATCTATGTATTTATGGTACTTAGTTTACTAACTAAATATTAGCTTCATTACCTCCTTCAGTCTTTTCCAACTTTTCCTCTTTTCTTTCTAAACATGTGTCCAACACAGTTACAGTATGCTTTTTTCTTTAAACTTTTATATGAAAAAATTTTAAACGCACAGAAGGAAAGAAATAATAGTACGGTGAATATTTACTTAACCTCTATTTTCTTTTCTCTCCTTATTTTTTTCTCTCTTCCACCTTTGCTCCTTTTTCTTTATATATATTTTGCTGCTGTTGTTGCTGACGTGATAACATCTTTTCTTTTTTTGGCTACAGATATTATTTATGTCTTCAGCTTCGGCAGGACATAGTTGCAGGACGTCTGCCCTGTTCCTTTGCAACCTTAGCGTTATTAGGTTCTTATACCATCCAGTCTGAGCTGGGAGACTATGACCCAGAACTCCATGGTGTGGATTATGTTAGTGATTTTAAACTGGCCCCAAATCAGACCAAGGAACTGGAAGAGAAGGTCATGGAACTGCATAAGTCATACAGGTGAATATGTCTCCAGGTTTTGTTCTGTTTGTTTTGACAATGAGTTTAAACTCGTGACATAGTATTGATTCAGTGTTTCACTAAGAGGGAGCATGTGCTATAGAAAGAGTCAGTGTGAGTTCACTTCCCTCTACTGTTTGACTTTGGATGAGTCATCTAACCCCTCTTAACCTCAGATTTCTCATCAAAATAATGGGCATTGCAACTTTATAGCATATTTTGTCTGTTTGTCTGTCTATCTATCTATCTATATTTTTATTTTTTTTGAGTCAGAGTCTCACTCTGTCGCCCAGACTGTAGTGCAGTGGCTGCTCCCGGCCACCGCAGCCTCAACCTGCTGGGCGCCAGTGATCCTTCCACCTCAGCCTTCTAAGTAGCTGGAACTACAGGCGTGCGCTACCATGCCTGGCTAATTTTTGATTTATTGTAGAGATGAGGTCTTGCCAAGTTGCCCAGGCGGGTGTCGAACCTGTGGGCTCAGGCAGTTCACTCACCTTGGCCTCCCAAAGTGTGGGATTACAGACTGAGCGACTGAGCCCGGTCCCTACCATACATTCATTGTTATTTGAGTGACTTGCTATAGATAAATTTTCTAAGCTGCCTTAGCATATTAATGTGAAAGTCTGATCTTAGCCTTGAGTTAGCATGAGTTAGGTTACCAATCTCCAAAGAGTTACACTGCTCAAAGAGAAATTCAAGGACAGGCACCTTGGCTCATGACTGTAATCTCAGCACTTTGGTAGGCTGATGCAGGAGAATCACTTGAGGCCAGAAATCCAAGACCAGTCTGGGCAACATAGCGAGACTCCATTTCTTAAAAAAAAAAATTGAAAAATTGAAGAGAGAGAAAAAAAAAAAAAAGAAATCCAAAGAGTGATCTCAGTAGGGTTTCCTTGGTAGTAACAAGTATTCTCTCCAGCCATTGAGCCATCTTGTTTTACTGGGGATGATTCCAGTAGGATTACATGGAATAGGATGCTTCAAATTAGAGAGCTTTAACTCAAGGTTTCCCAATTCTGGGTGCTTTATTGTACCTATAGGTCCTACATAGCAGTAGCCTCATCACCCAACTCTCATGAGCACCACACTGTTTTCAAAGAGAACTGCCAGTTTGTTTTCAAGTTTGGGCTTATATGTTCCAATGCACTGATGTCTGGGATGACTAAATACACCACTTTCAACTTGTTGATGATTATAACTTAAGGATGTTGCATTATCTTTAAGCACTCTTTAAATACTTTTATTTATACTCTGGTTATGATTCTAAACATTTATATATATAAATATATAGTCTAAATATATATGTATACAAAAACAAGTTCTGGAAATAATAGAATTTGATTTGTTAGAGTGTCAAACTTGTAGGGAAATGCTCTTTTAATTTTCTAATAATTTAAACATAATTTTATTATAAGTATTATAACCTATAGGTGATCAGTAAAATAGTAAAAGAAAACATTTTACTGCTACCATAGAGCTGAACTGCAGAAAATGGTGGTGTCAGATTATCTATCTATCTATGATGATTCTTTTAATGCTTTCTTGACCATAATAGAATATCAGGTTTGGGAGGACTTTATAAAGTCTCTCATCTAATGCTTGACTCTCCTTTACAGAATTGTTACATAATCATAATAATTATAAGCAGCCAATTATTGTACATCTATTATTATGAGCCAGATATTATGCTAAGCATTTTGTGCACAATATCCCATTTAATCTTTATAATCATGCTTTGCATTAGGCCAACAGTTTTCAAAAAGTGGTCTTCAAGATTCTTTCAAAGGATCCACAAGGTCAAAATTATTTTCATAATACTACTAAGCTGTTACTTGCCTTTTTTACCATGTTGAAATGGATGGAGCACAAATCAAGGCAGTTGTACCAAAGTCATTATGTGCACCAACATGCATTTGCAGTTAAAAAATAAAAATAAAGGCTGGCTTGGTGGCTCAGCCTGTAATCCCGCGCCTTTGGGAGGCTGAGGTGAGTGGATTGCCTGAGCCCGCAGGTTCGAGACCCGCCTGGGCAGGCGAGACATCTCTACAATAAAATAAAAACATCAGCCGGGCGTGGTAGCGCATGCCTGTAATTCCGGCTACTTGGAAGGCTGAGGCGGAAGGATCCCCGGAGCCCAGCAGGTCGAGGCTGCGGTGGCTGGGAGCAGCCACTGCACTCCAGTCTGGGCGACAGAGTGAGACTCCAACTCAAAAAATAAATAAATAAATAAAAATAAAATAAAAATAAAAAGGCCCATTTGCCTAAGAATTTTCTCAATAAGGCAGTAGTATTGACCTTATTTTATTTTTTTTGAGACAAGATCTTATTGTGTTGCCTAGGCTAGAGTATGGTTGTTCAGTCATAGCTCACTGCAGCCTCAAACTCCTGGGCCCAAGAAGTTCTCCTACCTCAGCCTCCTAAGTAGCTAGGACTACCACCACACTCAGCTAATTTTTTGTTTTTTATAGAGATGGGATCTTGCTATGTAAAATGGGCTGGACTTGAGCTCCTGGACCCAAGCGATCCTCCCACATTGGCCTCCCAAAGTGCTAGGATTATAGGCATGAGCCACCATGCCCAGGCAATTTTATTAAATCTTGAATACATTTCTATTTACTATTCTGTGTGATTAAATGGGAAGTATACCTTACATAAAGCATTTCTGCTACATACTGAAGTGCAACATTTGTCCTGAGGAAAAGCACTTGTATAATTGAGTTGTAAGCTAAATTAGCCATCTTTTCTTTTTTTGTTTTTTGAGTTGGGGATTTCACTCTGTCTCCCAGGCTATTCATACTTAAAATTTTTTTTTTTTTTTGAGTTGGTGGAACAATCACGGCTCACCCCAGCCTCAACCTCCTTGGCTCAGGCAATCCTTCTGCCTCAACCTCCTAAGCAACTGGGACTATAGGCATGGGCCACCACACCTGACCTTATCTTTTGTAAATAACGTTGATTTTTTCTTGAGAAAATGACTGGCAAAGTTTGATTATTCAGGCTTGGTTATTTGGCATACGTTTTTCTCAAGTTGAGATGGGCTAGTACTTTTAGGAGAATGACTGGCAGTATTTGTTGCTAATGACAAAATTAAAGGCTTCACGTAAAAATTAGAATTTTGGACTGGACTTGGAGGCTCATTCATGTAATTCTAACACTTTGGGAGGCTGAGGTGAGAGGATCACTTAAGCCCAAGAGTTCGAGACCAGTCTAGACAACAGCGAGATCCCATATTTACAAAACATCAAAAAATTAGCTGGGCATACTGGCATGTGCCTATAGTGCCAGCAACTCAGGAGGCTGAGGTGAGAGGATCACTTGAACCCAGGAGTTTGAGGCTGCAGTGAACTGTGATCATGCCACTGCACTCCATCCTGGATGACAAAGTATGACCCTAACTTAAAAATAAAAATAAAAAAATCTAGAATTTTGGAAAATGTTTATCCCATGACCTTGACAGCTTTTCTGCTAGGGTTGGTGGTGATTTTAGTGAATGTGATTTTTTAATATATATATTATATAATGAAATGTGTCAGCATTTGGAAGATTTACATAACTTGGTAAACCTGTATTTTTCAAATAAGAAATGCACTATGTTATGAAATTATGCGTGGGTAAAAAAGATCCATTCAGAATGCAAGATAGACCAATGGATTTTAATGTAGCAATACAAAAAGCTCATTGATAAGTTTCCAGATTTCACATTGTGACTGACCTATAAAAACTGCCATTGTTGAGTTTTGATGTAATACCAAAGGAGAATATTTAAAATTTTCAATCCTTCCACATGTCTATGGGGGAACAGATTTCTTCACACAATGCCAAATCAGTATATTGCAATAGATTGAATGAAGAAGCAGTTAGAACTCAGCTGTTTAAAAAATTTTTAAATATGTAAAACAATGTCACCTTTTCATTACATTTTTATTTTATTTATTGTTATTTTTCAAAAGCAATGCTTATATTAATGTTAAAAATAATGGATTTTCATTAGGTATTTAATAAATAAATGCTTTAAATTTTGCTTAGTTTAAAAAATTTTTAATAGAGTTAATACTAATAGATATAAGCCATGTAAAGAAAAGCTCTTTGGAGTCCTCAATAATTGTTACAGTAACTTTTAAAAAAGTGAAGAGGGCAACCCCTAGGTTCCCTCCCCACTCTGGGAGTTTTTCTGTCTGTTCAATAAATCCTGCTTTAAAAAAAAGAAAAGAGCTGGGCTCGGTGGCTCAGCCTGTAATCCCGTGCTTTGGGAGGCTGAGGTGAGTGGATTGCCTGAGCCCGCGGGTTCGAGACCCGCCTGGGCAGTGAGACCTCATCTCTACAATAAATCAATACAATAAATTACTAGGCTGGAGTACAGTAGCACTCTCAAAGCCACCGCAGCCTCGACCTGCTGGGCTCAGGCAGTCATTCCACCTCAGCCTTCCAGGTAGCAGGAACTACAGGCACACACCACCATACCCGGCTAATTTTTAAATTTATTGTAGAGATGAGGTCTTGCCATGTTGCCTGGGCTGGTCTTGAACCTGTAAGGTCAGGCAATCCTCTCGCCTTAGCCTCCCAAAGTGCTGAGATTACAGGCGTGAGCCACTGCACCTGGCCTGCAGTGAGTTCTGATCATGCCACTGCACTCCAGCCTGGGAGGTGGAGAGAGACCAGATCTCTTTTTTAAAAAAAGTTTTACATTCCCACAAAATGCTTATTAATTACAAAGAGATCAAGAGAAATTTCACAGAGAAGCCTGGCAAAAATCACTGGTCAAAATGAACATCAACTGTAAAAGGACAAATTGAAATTATGTGAGAAGATGCAGTGAGAAACGCTTTGGTCATGTTCCTGTCAAAGATGCATAACCTGAATCAGCTCAGAGAGGCCCAAATTGAAGGGCATGCAATAGAATAATTGACCTATAATCTATAAAAGGTCAAGGATTTGAAAATCAAAGAATAGGGAGTCATTCCAGACTGCAGAAGACTAAAAATACACAAACTAAATGAAACTCACAATGCTAAACTGAATCCTTTTGCAGCACCTGGCTAAATTTAAATGGGGGTCTGCTGATTATATGGCAGTGATGTATCAATGCTCATTTCCTCATTTGGACAGTTATACTAAGGTTATGTAGAAGAATGTCCTTGTTTGTGGAATAAACTTCTAGTTTGTACCAAGAGTATTCAAGAGTAGTGGATTATCAGGTTGGCAAATGGTTCAAGAAAAAATTATTTGCAGGCTGGGTACAGTGGCTCACACCTATAATCCTAGCGCTTTGGGAAGCTGAGGTGAGAGGATTGCCTGAGCCCACAGGTTCGAGACCAGTCTGGGCAACTTGGTGAGACCTCATCTCTATAATAAATCAAAAAATTAGCCAGGCATAGTGGCACATGCCTGCAGTTCCAGCTACTTGGAAGGCTGAGGCAGAAGGATTGCCTGAGCCTAGTATGTTGAGACTGCGGTGGCAGTCAGCATGCCACTGCACTCCAGCCTGGGTGACAGAGTGAGACTCCAACTCAAAAAACCAAAAAATTATCTCCATTGTGCATAACTTTTAGGAAACATAATTGTTTCAAAAATTATATGTAAAAATATTTTAAGAAGTCTTGCTATGTTACCCAGGCTGGAATGCTTTGCTATTCCCATGCATGAACGTAGTGATCATAGTTCTCTGTGACCTTGAACTCAAGTGATCTGCCTGTTTCAGCCTCCCAAGTAGCTGGGACTACGGGCCGCTTTATTTTTTTTAGTTTTTATGAGGTCTTGTTATATTGCCCAGGCTGGACTTGAACTCCTGAGTTCAAGTGATCCTCCTGCCTCAGCCTCCTGAGTAGCTGGTTCTACAGGTGCCCACCACTGTGCCCAGCTAAAAATTACATTAAAAATTTTAAATGTAAGCATCAGCCATACTTCAACTATAAATATTTTTTCAACTAGCAAGAAAGTTTTAAAGTTAAATATATCTCCTTAACACAATTTTAAAGAATGCTTATAGAAATGTTTAATTACATACTGTGAATTTATTTTTCTTTTTTTTTACGACATAGTCTTGCTCTGTCACCCAGGTTAGAGTTCAGTGGCTTGATCATAACTCACTGCAGCCTCGAGTTTCTGGCCTCCAGTGATCCTCCTGCCTTGGCCTTCCAAAGTGCTGAATTACAGACGTGAGCATCATGCCTAGCCAATAGTGTGAAATTTAAATCTGTATTCAAATTATTGGCCCCCTTAATGTCACTTAGATTTACAGGAATTATTATAGGAAAGATTTTATCAGCCAGACTCGGTGGTTCAGCCTGTAATACCAGCACTTTGGGAGGCTGAGGTGAGTGGATTGCCTGAGTCTACGGGTTCAAGACCAGTCTGGGCAACTTGGTGAAACCTTGTCTCTACAACAAATCAAAAAATTAGCTGGGTGTGGTAGTGCATGCCTGTAGTTCCTGCTACTTGGAAAGCTGAGGCGGAAGGATCGCCGGAGCCCAGCAGATTGATGCTAGGGTGGTTGTAAGTGTGCCACTGCACTCCAGTCTGGGCGACAGAGTAAGACTCCAACTAAAACAAACAAAAAAAGACTTTATCACGATTATTTCATTTAATGTTTTAAATTTTGCCATCAAATTCTAGCGATCCAAATTATTTTTCTCAATTTTATTTTAGGATTTGTGTATAGATGTTCCACTGGACTATCAGAAAACTGAGGTTGTAATAATGAAAAACAAATGTTTATAAAGCTGTTTCACAACCATTATCTCATTTGGTCCTGATAGTACCATTTATTTAATTAGTAAAGACAGAAAAATTATTGCTGATCCTCATATCTGGAGATAGGAATTATTATGCTTTTTACTTTATAGAGGAGACTAGGAGAGACACTGGGTGACCACTCATAAGTACGAGAGCCAGGGTTTCAGCCCAAGTAATGTGGCTCGAGTCTGCTACTTTAGACTCAGAATCCTAACCTGCCTGCGGCCATGTGACCTAATCCCTTAGGACCTGTTTCTTCAACAGCAAAATTAAAGTGTTGTGTTCTGTGATCTTCAAGCTCCATTCCAGCTTCAAAATCCTAATATTCATCCTATCGGTAATGGTAGCCACAAAAAGCATACAATACCTGGGAGTAACCTTAACTAGAAAAGAGTGTAACTTACATAGAAAAAAAAATTAAAAACTATAAAACTTTCCTGAGGTATTTTAAATGACTTGAATATATACAGACTTTCATACGAGTTGACTTTCTGATTCTCCTTTTATTCGTCTTTAATTTCAGGTCCATTAATAAATAAAATTCAGTTGTGATGCTTTAAAGCATGTGAAAATAAATTTATTCATGGAGGCTTAGTGATTAATAAATCTGTAGTCTCCTGAGATTTTTTTTTTCTTTTGGTGGTTGTTTCAGGGTATCCTTTGTCCTTTTTTAATGAGGGTAAAGACAGATGGGTTTGGAAGAGACTTTTTCTTGTTAAATGAAGAGACCCCTGCTGCTTTCTATAGCTTGAAGCAGTCTTATGGAAAACTTGCATTTACATGTTTTTTTCTTTGGGGATGTGACTGTGTTATTGTTGCTATGAAGTTCTACTTGATTGGTCTGGATTGTACAGCATTAGGAGTGATATTTTTGCTTGAAATCTCTATATAACAGCTCATGAGCACTTTTCAAAAGAGAGGAAACTTGTAAAGGAGAAGGAAAGACTGTCACAGTGAGTGTTTAGACAGCGAGACTGATTGTTTTCAAACAAATCGAATTCATTATATGCCTGGTAATGAAAACATGTTAATAACAAAAAAGCAGCCCCATTATCTATGTGCTTCTATTAACCAATTTATTTTGTTAAGATCAGTGGGCAGGACACCATCTGTTACCAGAAATTTTCTTTTCATCAAGGCTGCCCCTATTAAGAGTCCTCAGTTAAGTAACGTCAGCTGCCCTCTTGTTTCATTCCCATAACTCAATTCAGGGGTATAGAGAGAAAAAGGCAGCTAAGAGGATATTGTAAATTGCACCATGCCCTCAGAGGATTTAATTTGGTCATCTCCTTGGCAAGAAAAATGAGTGGGAGGAGTTTATGTATGTTGAAGAAAAACACTGAAGAGAAGGGGAAATTGTTAGTAGATAGTAGATGAGGTAGCTTTGAGGAAATTATTTAGTGGAATTAAAAAAAATTTTTTTGGTAGCTTTTTGGTGATTTTTATTTCCCCAAGGTGTCTTTTTTAAGGCACAGTTCAATTATTTAGATACAGGTAGTAATAAGAGTCTTGTTCCTTAATAACCTACTTCCAGGACTAGGAAATTTTATACATCTTACATACATATTTGTGTGTATATGTTTGTGTTTAAGTAAACCACAATTAATATATAAATATTACTACAAATGATGACACTATGTCACTAAAATAAATTTTTATCTTTATTCTATCAAAGGTCCATGACTCCAGCTCAAGCTGACTTGGAATTTCTTGAGAATGCCAAAAAGTTGTCTATGTATGGAGTTGATCTTCATAAAGCAAAGGTAATGATAATTTTGACTTTTATTAATAATGCATGCATAATGCAGTATATGACATATCTGTTATGCATGTATCACATCTGTGTCATATAATACTTCTTACTAACATCTGGAGCATTTTTAAACATTCAAAATCAACAACACAAAGGGTACCTTGTCCACAACTAGCAGGAGTGAAGGCCAGTTAGAGGCCCAGACTTCAGCTGCATGCAGCCTACTCACTTGTACCCCACATTTCTATAATTTAAAAAAAGGTTAAAAAAATTATTCAAAATCAGTCGGAGTATTTTAAAACATTAAAAAGAGATAGTAATAGAAATGGTAGAACTCTTGTTAACATTTTAATTGTATCAATTGAATCAATCAAGTATACCAGTATATACTGAATTTGAATTGCCCCTTAGCAATTCCACCCTCAGAATAAAGTTTCATATCCCAACTACTGTAAAGATCAAAAGATGTAACACCTAGAGAAAGAAATTGTATTTTTCTAAAGTGCAGTTACATTTGAAACTATAGAGTAGCAGCAAGACCTGCTTTACAGCCAATATCACATATATCAAAATCACCTAGGGTGTTTGTTAAATATGCAAATTCCTGAGCTCCCCTTAGGTTTATGGAATGATTTTGGAGGAGAGGTTCTAGAGTCTCCAGATTTATGAGTACCCAGATGACTCATGTTTGAATCTGAGAACCATTGGCCTAGGGTAGTGGTTCTGAAAGTGTGATTTCTGAGCCAGCAGCATTTAGCATCACCTAGGAACTTGTTAGAAATGCACATTTCAGGCCCCATCCCAGACCTATTGAATCAGAAGTTCTGGGAGTGGAATCCAGCAATCTGGTCTTTTTTTTTTTTTTGAGTTGGAGGATTGAGTGCAGTGCTATAACAGTGGCATCACAGCTCACTGCAGCCTTGACCTCCTGAACTCAGGTGATCTTCCCACCTAAGCCTCCTGAGTAGCTGGGACTACATGTGTGTACCACCACACCCAGCTAATTTTTAAATTTATTTCTAGAGACGAGTTCTCCCTATGTTACCCAGGCTGGTCTCAAACTCCTGGGTTCAAGCAATTCTCCCATCTTGGCCTCTTGGGATTACAAGTGTGCGCCATTGGACCTGGCCAGCAATCTGTTTTAACAAGCTCTCCAGGTGGTTCTGATGCACACTGAAGGAACCACAGTGGCTGGATTAGGGCCCTGGAAACTTGAGTTTTAATCCTTGTTCTACCTAATATATAACAGGATGAATATTAAGAGCAAGTTGTCTTGACTTCTCTCATATTCACCTACTAATATTGCTGGAGAGGTTGAGGAGATTGTGAAGGAAAGGGTTCAAGATGATTGAGGCTCATTCAGAGGAACTTAACTAGGATGTGTAATGAGGATATGCAAAAGCATGTTCAGTGAGAAACAGCCAAAGGATACTTAGTTCACAAAAGAGCAAGTTTGGGGAAGATGTAATATCCACCTTCATGGATTTAAAGCAGTGGTGTGTGAAGTAAAGATTTTACTATGGCTCCAGGATCTAAACCTAGAGACTATAAAATAGAAACTATATACTGTTCAGCTGAATTTGACAAATTGTCTAACTATTTAAAGATGAGATGGGTTATCTCAATAGATAGTGAGCTCCCTATCACTGGATGTATTCCAGGAAAGGCAGAGTAATCACCTGCCTTTAGGAATTTAGGAATTTAGAATTTAGAAAAGGACATTCAAACATCTTGTGTGTGATTAGATTAAAATGACCTTTGGGCCCGGCTCGGTGGC